TAATGTTTATTTAATTAAAAAACAATTTAAAATTATTATTCATTCATTCATTCCATGCATTCATTCCATTCATCCATTCATTCCAGTCATTTCATTCATTCAATTACTCAAATAACGTATATGCATCAATATTTTCAGTAGACTAATTTAAATATCTGTGGCTTCCCAAGTAAAATGCTACAAATGTTTTTGAAATACAAGCATGCGCCACACACACACACACACACACACACAAACACACACACACACAAACACACACACACACACACACACACCACACACACACACACACACACACACACACAAGATGTATGTACACACAAATGCACACACACACACACACACACACACACAAGATGTATGTACGTGTGTGTGTGTACATGTGTGCAGACAAAAATAGCTGAACATGGCATTTAAAATATTTTCATTAATTCCACTAATCCATTCCTAAACAAATGTTACATGGCAGGCATGAAAGGCTGAAAGCCTCTCCCTTCGTTCAATAATTATGACGCAAATAAATAAATAAACAAATAAATATATAAATAAATAAATATATAAATAAATAAAAATATAAATAATTAAAATGTCATCATTCTTGTACATAAATACTGTTGAAACAATGATGATGATGATGATGATGGTAATAAAGATGATGATGAAGGAGAAGATGAGTTGATGCTGAAAATGTTGATGATGATGCTAACGAAGTAACAAAGTATCATCAGTTGATTGTTCTGTGAGAAAGTTATATAAGGATACACCCAAGTTGAAAATCTGTTATATACATACACACTTACATACATATATACACACATACATGCATACAAACTTAATTGACATAAAAAAACACATACACACATATACAAACACAGATACACACAAACATCCATATACACTTGCATGTAAAACAACGTGTGTAGTGTGCACATGCCTAAAAGAACCACATTGTGTACACAGTACACATAAGCATTCAACAACATACAACTCCTATGTTCTTACCTATCTAACTTGTTTACTGTCATTATTTTGTAACTTTTCAATTTTTGTCATTCATCTGGCTAATTATCCAACAAAAAATTTTATGTTCATTTATCAGACAACCATGTTAAATGGAGGCAATTTATCCATTCATTCATCCAATTATTCTTCCATCTGTCTAATAATTAATTCATTCATTCATTAGTTTATTCATTTAAACATATCCTCTTCCCATATTAACATCAATTATTCTTCGATTTGATCAGTCACAACCATTGATTTGATCAGTCACAACCATCGCTCAATCAATCCATTTATCCACCCAACAACACATCCAACATCAATTTATCCAAATAACAATCAATCAACACAACCATCAATCAATCAATCAATCAATCAATCAATCAATCAATCAATCAATCAATCAATCAACCAACCAATCAATCAACCATCCAACCAACTAGCCAATCATCAAGCCATCCATCTTATTCAACAGCACAACTAACAAACAACTACCAATAAACCATTCATAAATTTATTTATTATTATTTGAAAAGCACTGATAGACATGTATTGAGAGTTAGTTGCTGGTATGCAATGCCCTGGAAATTGAAATCCACATATTTGCTGATGTTTATTAAACTATAAGATCTAGTTACATGTACATGAAACAAAATTATTTATGCATATGGAATACAACGCAAGCTATACCGTACACTACACAATACAATACAACATGTACATAAATATTTGTATGTACTATGTATATACACACATACATAGACATACAAATAATACAAATACATACAATTACAAATTCATACAAATACTTACATATACCTACATACAGACAAGTGTAAATAGATACAAGCAACAAATACCAAACATGCATACATATTTGTGAAACAAAATTTCAAACACACACCAACCACACATACATAAAATTATTTATACATACACACATACATTCATACACACAAACCCACACACACACACACACACACATACACACACACACACACACACACACACACACACACACACACACACAGACACACACATACATAGACAAGTACATAAATAAATATGTAAATAAATGCATACATTAAAAAGCAGTGTTTTTGAGGTACTCTTGATAAAACTTTCACATTATAAATTAATTTCAAAATATTTTTTGTATTGATTCAATCAGTAGACTTAAAAAGGTCTTCAAAAAAAAGCTCAAAAACAATATTTCCAATTTACAGAATATTTCCAATTTACAGAAGCCATTTATCTCCATGTTTAAAAGTGAATTTAGAATAAATTTCAGAAATTTAAATAAAGGAAATATAAACAATCAACTTCCTGTAGAAAAAAAAATGTGATGAAATGATGTGTATGCAAAATGTTAACAATGTGTTGTGTATATATGCTGAAGGTGACACAACAGATATGTATGTATAAATTATGTATTATACCATGTGTCTATGTATACACAATATGGGAAACATCTCAGAGTAGACAAAAATATTTATAAAACTATTGATGGAAGAATTTCAACAAATGAGGAAAATATTGAAAGAATGTATCCAGGACCACAACTTACTATGTTTCATCTGTGTGTGTGTGTGTGTGTGTGTGCGTGAGTGTGTGTTCGTGTGTGCGTGCGTGTGTGTTCGTGTGTTTCAATAGGAAAAACACATTCCAAAAGTTGGAGCAAAGTGTGCATGTGAAAAAAATCTACAAACATCTATGCATGTGTGTGTGTGAGTGTGTGTGTATATTTGTATGTGTAACAAAGTTAATGATAAAAACAAAACATTCCATCCAAACATGGCATTCAAAAAATTGTTAAGTTCCTATATAGTATGGTAAATATTATTATTGACATTTTATTTATCACATATTTAGTTTTCTTATAGCATATATTTAAGTTTGTTATACTCAATAAATGATTTTGGATAAAAATTATTACCTTTTACATACATTTTATGCAATTTGCATTTAATATTATAACTCAGCACTCTGCATTTATTATGAATATATCTAATTTTTTATTGAACATCTTATTTAATGTACATGCTGCCTGGTTGGACATGCTATGTTTCATCTCTGTGTGTGTGTGTGTGTGTGTGGTGTGTGTGTGTGTGTGTGTATGTGTGTTGTAATAAGTTGGAATATAAAAACCAGCAAACTAGTCAAATAAAAATATTACAAACTCATAAAACAATGAAAAAGACAAACATAACTGAATCTTTAGTTTCCAAGCATCATTATTTTTATACAGATAAGACATGCTACAACTGAATTTATAATTATTTTTCTTTATTTATCCAATTATTATGAATCTAATCAATCATTAATAATTTGCTATCCCTCAAACCAAACCTCAAAAACAATGTAGACATGTAAACATTTATTCTAAGATTCTAAGACATGTCTATCAGAGTATTACTAAATGAAATGCAATGCCGTATGCATAATATTATATTATAATGATTATAACAACTAAAATTAATAACTCTATCATTCAAATTCAATTCAAAGCTTCAAATATAATATATTAAATCAAATTAATTATAATAATATCAAAAATGCCGTTAAAGGTTAAACACATTTTAGTATTACAAATAACATCCAAAAAGTCACCTGCTATTGGAGAAGGTTTCTTTAGAACGCACCATCTTTCTTTCCACTAAAAATTTCAAATTTAAAATCAATTAAATCAGTTTAATTAATTTTAAATATTACATACTACACTGCAACTTTTTTTATTTTTTTTTAATAAAATAATAAATAAAAGTTGCATGATAAATAATTAAATAAAAGAATAACTCAATTTTAGCTAAATTTACCAACAGAATATTTCCTAGTTTCACCATCACAAATATAAGCACCTACACTACTAAACTTTAAAACAGGGCCCTTGAACAAAAATTACCAGGGTAAAGCTTTTTTCACTTTCTGCAACCAAAGCCAAGTAGAGAGAAGTGAAAGAAATTCTAACTTTTAATTTCGTTTTGTAATTTTGTCAATAAAATAAAATCAAAATTACCTTTTTTCCATCGCGATATTTCAGCGGATTTTCGACAATTGAAAGACAGGACATTGTTGTAACGTAAAATTGCAATTGTCACTTCTTAAGTAGTTTTGTAATAATAAATAATTAAAAATTTTAAATGCAGACTAATTTTATTTAATTTTAGTTACCAACGAGCAATCAATAATAGTTAACACTTCGAATTAAAATAAAACTGACAAAAAGGAAACATTCCATAACTTGAATTAAGATGAGCAAACACAAAAAAGTTGAAAATAACTGAGACTTATAAAAGTATCACACATCCATTATTATTATTACATATATTTATTGCCTGCGAGCTAGCTATGTTAAAAAGTAAATAATGTAAAATGTAACGAGAGCGAGGGAGTTACTCAGCTACGGCGATGTCACGATAGCCTCTCTTTATTTATTCTCATTATATACTTGAACTATTTTTGCACTGGCACCAGCGCCCGATTCGTCACGAATGTTTCAACTTTTATTCATTTAAAGAAACCAAGATCAAATTTTTAACGTTAATATTGAACGTGAAAAAAAAATTAAATCACGAAAGATTTAGGGTAATGTATTTGCAAGCATGAAAAATGCGTAAAATCTAATTATTGTTCAGCTGGTGTCTTCTTATGCGTTTAATGTCTGACGTACTTTTGATATTAACTCCTCTTTTTTCATTTTTGCATTGCATTTAACGTTTTTACTCTTCAACCAGGCAATCAAGACATCTTTGTTCAGTGATTTCTCGTTCTTCAGAAGATTTTCTATGTCAATAGCTGATGCCTCAATTTGAGGTTTGAACTTTTTCTCTTTTGGTTCGCCAGTTGGCGTCGATTTATTATGTTTCTCAGCTCTCACTTTTTCTTTTACAGCAGCTTTTTTTGGCTCGTAAGTCAGACTTGGTGTCTCAGTGTCAATGTTAAATATGGGAGCACTGGATTTCGTTGGAACATTTGTCTGACGTTGCTTGTTCACGCTGGCATTGACGTTCGTTTTACAAAAACTTGGCTTTTGTTTCACGACCTGTTCTCTTGCAGATGAATGATTAATGCTGTTTCCGTTAGGTTCAACTCTAGCAGTTGAATGTGCATCAACATTTGTGATTTTTAATTTGGACACACCAGAATTTTTTTTGGTAAATCTAGGAACTATTTTTGGTGCAAACTTTACAACTTCACTGCTATCATCACTTTGCATTTTATACGTGTTATTAATATAAATGCTTGAAATGGGATTGTCTGCTTCAGTTCTGATCAACAAATTATCTTGGGCATTTTTTGTAACCACACCCATGTTTGAAACATTAGGCTCTACTTTATTGAGCAGTCTAACATTACTCAATTTTTTGTCATTTTCTTCTCCACTTTTTGTATCATTATTATTTGTCACCAATAAACATTTAGAATCTGTGTTATGCAAGACAATTTCATTTTTTTCAAAGATATCTTCTTCTAGATGAAATTTTAATGGATTTCCACACATAAATGGTACTTTTTCTAATATATTGTTGATTAAATTTTCTACAATCTGATCATTTTGCTTTTTAATTATTATTGGCTCAAAACATTTAACACAACAGCTTGGGTATAAAAACATTTCATCAGTAAATCCAAAACCTACTTTGACAAAAAACACATCAGATTCATTCTCAGGTAGAACATAACCATAAATATCTCTCCAAAATATTTTTAATTCTCTATAACATTTAAAGCAATCATTTAGTGGAAATGATTTGTGGATGGAACAAACTTTACCTTTTTTTAAACTTGGTAAAACAAAGCACCATTTGCAGTTGATCAATTGGGGTGTGATATGAGAATTACTATTTTGATTAAAATGAACTCCAAAATGATTTATGGACGTTACAGGCATTGATAGCGCACACGTATAAGCATTCATTGTTATTTTCTGGTTTGTAACATGAATGTTCAAATCAATAGCATTCAGACGAGTTGGAGTAAATAAAAAGCGCTCGCCTTCTACCAAAAAGGATGCAAGTACGTTGTAATTTGGACTTAGTCTGGTTATTACAGTGTATCTCAGGCACATTTCAAACGTTTCCGGATTAGCTTGAACAGCTTCGCCTAATGATAGTTCTTTCTTAATTAATCTGTTCTGAATTCTTTTAGTGAATAACAGCTTCTTTGACATACAAACAAGAAAACATTTTTCCCTTATCGAAAAAGGAGAAGCCAGTACATCGGGTTCAGTAAAAATCAGATTTTTACATAAACTTACATGTGCCTGCGGATAACTTTTCAAATCCGGCACTTTCACGTAAATAACGAACAAATTTTCAAGATCTGGGCAATTAAAGAAGTACATGGCAACAGACACTTTGCATAAAATGGCGGAATAGTCTGGTTAGTAATTAAATTTAATAGCGCTCTACATATGTATAAATTAATTAAAAAAATATCAACGATCTTCTTTTAACAAAATATGTATTTAACTTGTAATTGTTAAGTGTATGTCTATTCTATCTACATGTATATCAAATATATTTATTAATTATAGTAGATTTTGTGTTTTATATATATATATATATATATATATATATATACATATAAGTAAATGTTAGAAGACCACATTTTATACAGCATTGTATGAGTTCTACAGAATTGTTGGCATTAATCAATTTAAAGTTTGTCTTTTCAGTTTTTCTTACTAGAATTTTCGTTATGAACAACAATACGGTATGATTTATACAATACTATATATATATATATATATATATATATATATGTGTGTGTGTGTGTGTGTGTGTGTGTGTGTGTGTGTGTGTGTGTGTATGTATATATAAGTGAGTTAGTGAATATAACATACATACATCTATGTGTATCTAAATGCGTTAAGCAAAAGACAGATTAACGTAGCGTTGAATAAGGCTCAATTTAATGCTTTGCTGTTATATTATAACGTATAATAATTACTTCCTTGTACGAGAAATATATTGCATTATAATATCGTAAATTTATGATTATATCACTAAATGAAAACTGATTTTATTTTACAATGGGGTCCACAGAGTTGAAACTTGATTTCATGTCCAAGCGTTCTCAGATGAAAGGCAGAATAAAAACTGACAGTTACAAGAGCAGGTGGTTCAAACTGACACCAACAGCTCTATTCTACTATGATGGAAAGATAACGGTATATAAAAATGCGGTTTTTAAGAACAATCAGTCATCGATTATTATCATGTATGAGCATGTTCATTGTAAAGTTAGTTTGTTAATTTATGAATGATTAATTAATTAATAAAGACAGGAATTGGCAAGGTGAAAGGTCAAATAGATTTAAAAACAATCAAAGTAATTGAAAAAGTAGATGGGGAGGGCCTTGGTAACAAGCAGAACGTTTTCCAAGTAATTAAATCTTCTTTAAATATAATAAAATAATTTGTAAAATATGACGGGATATTATTTTTTTAGATAGTTTATAACGATCCTAACAAGTTCGAATCAGTTTATACTTTGTACATAGTGGCAGCCCATGCAAAACAGCAAGAAGATTGGATATTGGCTTTGAGAGAAGGTTAGAAATAATATTATCTTTTTTATATAAATCATGATGAATAACTAAAAGCTGTAATTCTTTTATAACTAGCCGCAAAAATGGAAAATGCCCAGTTTTCTCCAATTTATCATTTGGGTGTCTGGATGTACAAGCAGGGGAAATGGAGTTGTTGTGGTAATTTCAATTTTAGAAATAAAGGCTGCCTTCCGTCATTTTGCGCCACTTCTAAAAGTATTTATACATGAATTTAATTATTTTCAAATATCACAAGTTTGACCATCCTCTTTTCAACACGGCATAATTTTTTTCAAATCCAGATGTTGCCAGAGAAGAAGCACAACGCCAATCAAGCAGAGATGTAAATACTGACTTAGAACTAATTTAAATAATTTACATAAAATATAAAATTTAATTTAATACATCTCAATGTTTTATTCAAGACTGAAAATCTTAAAGTGCTAGCTTTATTCGAATATCAATCTAAGTCTAAAGAAGAGCTGAGTTTGAAAAAGGTAAGAAAAGGTTTAATACGAAATTTGTCAAATATGAATTGTAAAAATGATTAACGTGACTTTGACAGGGCGAAGAACTGGAGATATTGTCATCAAACTTGAATGATGATTGGGTGAAAGCAAAAAATGAAGATGGGTTGGTTTTTTTCCATTTTTGAAAAATTAAAAACGATACTTTTGTTATAAGTAAAAGATATTTTCTCACTAGCACAACAGCAAAAACTAAACTATGATGATTGCCAAAAATTACTCAGTAATTGAACTGCCACATCTAAAAATATGACATGATATGAATTAATATATATCTTTTTAATAGAAATACTGGGCTTATTCCGTCAGCTTATGTGCTAGAAATTGATGACGATAATTTAGAGTCTTATGAGTAAGTTATTGAATAATGGCTTCAAAGATTGGAATAAATTTGCAGGATATTATTTATTTTTTAACAGGTGGTATTTTAAAGACATATCTAGAGCACAAGCTGAAACGATATTGGAATCTAATGGTCAAGAAGGGTGTTTTATGGTCAGAGATTCCTCTAGACAAGGAATTTACACATTATCTCTCTACTTTAAACCAGATAAAAAGTAAATTTTTAAAAAATAACATTCAACATAAAACTAGAATACACTTATACGTCAAGAGTAAGTTAATAAAATATAGAAGAAGTCAATCAGTGTCAATATAACCATTATAATTTAAGTCTCAATATTGAATTGCACTAACATTAAAGGAGCGACGGAGAAGTAAAACATTACCACATCAAGCAATCGGGAAACGACTACTTCCTAACAGAGAAGCACAAGTTTTTAACCCTTCCAGAATTAGTATATTATCACAAACACAACTGTGCAGGTAAGCCGATGTGATTTAATTTCGATAAAAAATAAATATTGAATAAATTGATTATTTTATTATCAGCTCTTATGAAGTGGCTTTTGAATTAAAATTTCAAAAATTCGTTTTTAAGGTTTAGCCGCGAGATTAAAATTTCCTCCTTGTGATCAGTTGAAACCAACAATTCTGTTAGGTACGAAAATTTTCATTTTTTTTTTCATTAACATACGCGGTATAGTTAAATTATAAATAACTTTTGCAAAATCATACCAACAATTGTAAGTTTAATTAAAGCTATTGTTCCTCAATAGTCAATAATTTTTAATTTTCCAATCAGCACACACGGTAAATATTGATCCTAAAGAGCTGGAGTTAAGAGAAAAGTTGGGCTCTGGACAATTCGGGGTATGTTTGCCATAATATTTCAATTAAATACATTTGTATCTACTTCATTTTGCCAACTGATACTGATCATGTACTAAGAAAAATGTGAAAAATTGATAAAATTCAATCAATCCTTACAGACAGTACATAGAGCCATATATAAAGAAACAACAGAAGTTGCCGTTAAAACGATGAAGGAAGGTTCAATGTCTGAATTGGATTTCTTGGAAGAGGCTAAAATTATGGCGTTAGTATTTTTTAAAATATTTATTTCGTTCATTGGTAGAGACGTTAGTAGTGTTTGCTAATTATCAACATCTAGGAAGCTGCACCATCCAAATCTTGTTCAACTTTATGGTGTAAGTGCGAATCAAAGACCAATCATGATAATAACAGAATACATGAGACATGGTGAGTGTAGAAGGCATTCATTAAAATTTATTTTCTATTTTTTCAAAAAAAATAAATTTCTTTGCGAATTTAAATGAAATTGTCCCATTGAAATTAAATTAATTTATTCGCAAATTTAAAATTGTAACATTTGGACATTGAAAATCGATTGAACAGGCTCACTGTACAGCTATTTACGTAGAACCAAACATCATTTAATGAAAAAACAAGACCAACTAATTGACATATGCTTGCAGATTTGCAAAGCAATGGCCTACCTAGAAAAAAATAGTATCATTCACAGAGACTTGGCCTCCAGAAACTGCCTGGTTGGAGATAATTACGTCGTTAAAGTCTGCGATTTTGGCTTAGCTAGGTCGGAAACTTGTTCTAACTTTTGCAACATCGAGAAAATATAGCGATATATTTTAAATAACTAAAATCAATTAGTTTTTTGTTAAAAATTTTGAATACAACATCATCTAAGTTTTATCTTTAAAACTCAGTCTCTAAAAAACGTAACGATGATTTCTAAGCATGCATAGGGCTAATTTTATGGACTTTATTTTGAAAGATTTGTTCTCGATGACGAGTACACAAGCAGTGAGGGAGCAAAGTTCCCAGTGAGATGGGCTTCAGTTGAAGTTTTGACCCACCAGTTCTTCAGCAGCAAGTCAGACGTTTGGGCTTATGGTTGGTTTCTCAACAGTTAATACTGTCATTTAGTTTAATGAGGGCAGCATTTAATTTGAAAACATGCAATTCAGGTGTCTTAATGTGGGAGATTTTTACATGTGGTGATTTGCCGTATCTTGGTGTGGAGAATTTAGACGTCTACGATCATGTAAGCAAATATGGAAACAGATTGGAAAAACCAGATAAATGTTCCGACGAAATATACCAAATAATGCAGAAAACGTGGCAAGAGGTGAGCTAGTCGACTTTTCACTTTCATTTAATTAACTGTAGTTATTTCTTTCCCACACGATGAATAAAATAAATTATATATAATTTTAAAACGCGATTTATTTAGGATCATAATGATAGACCGGATTTTGATAGTCTTCTTGAAGAGATCTCAAATTTAAATGAATGATGTTCCAACTACAGGCCAACAGCAAAAAATATCTCATTCCATTGTTACTATTTTAAACATAAAAAAATTCCAAATAGGTTACCCATCTACGATTCGTCATGCTTTAATATAGATATCGTTTATTAAATATTTTTTAGAAGTTAATTTTTATTTAATAAAAAAACGTTTTACTTTATACAAAAATTACCGATCTAAAAAAATGATTCAAAAAATTGATTTTTATGGCCACAATTACATCACAAAACTTCGTAAAAGTCTGACAAAACTCTGCAGAGAGCTGTGCACCTCATTACTGGCGATATCAGAAAGCTTTGGGGAATTAAAAAAGAGAAAAAAATCAAATATATCTACAAAAATTTTAAAAGCGAACTAACATATAGGATAAATAACGGTCAATTGATATTCTGATTAATTTTACTTTATTTTTCTATTCAATTACTTTATACTTTGTTGGAGTTTTGACCATGGTGACATTTAAAAAAATGTTTGATTCAATTTTTTTTATTCAATATTTTATTTTGTTCTGCCTCTATTCATATTATGATTTGACAATTTGAAAATATTAACGATTCAATAATGAAATACTAATAAAATTAGACTAAAAAGTTTCATTAAACAAATTCTATTTAACCTGAAAAGTGCTTGGACAGTAGCGTCGTTATTATCCTTCATCCATTCATTCATCACGTGACCGGATGGATTGCTTAGTTCCATTTTGGACCAATCATCAATCAGTTTGCAATCCAGACCCATGAGTTGGGCCAACAATCTCCAATCATTTCCTAATTTATAATTTGTAAAAAATTCATTTGATTTCCATAGTGCTAATTTTTGAACTCAATGAAAATAGCCTGAAATATGAACAGCCGTATAGTTACAATTACAATAAATTGTAATTAAAATAAACATTTTAAAATTTTTAACAAACGCCTACATACCAGATGATCTTGTGATGTTCAGTTCTTTCATGAGAAATATTTTAACATCCTGCTGAATATCTCTCATGTGTGTACTGCCCTTCATCTTCTCACAAGGCTTCATTTGAAATTAAATATAATCATCATTATAGCTATTATCTCTTCATAATTTAACGTAATTATATTTTGGTGTCATTTAATTATTCAAAAGAAGTTAGCTGTTATGTGTAATTAGGATTTTAAATCTAAAAACTAAAACGCAAAATGGGTGAAAAGAATTTTTGAAAAGTGATAAAAAACGAAAGTGGAATTAAAATAACATTAAATAACTAATAAAAATATTAACAATTAAATAAGTAATTAAAATATTAAGAAAAAAATATTAAGAAAAAACAAACAAGCAAATGAATAAAAAAATAATAAAAAACTTTTTTAAAAAGTGACCCACAGGAATTAAGTTTAACTTTTGCTGGTTTTCAAGGATTCTTTCAGCATGATCATCAACCCTGGTTGTCACCCCTTCTATGGCAAACTCGACTCTGGGGTTAAGGCATGGATTGTTGGCATCAATTTGATGATAATTTTCACCTTTCAATAATTTATTTAAACGAGTTAACTGGCAAATAAATGTTTGTCTTAATAACAAAATTACCGGCAATAATCTGAAGAGTCATAATTTTGTCTTTAATATAAGTGAGGTTATCACTGCAGACGATGTCAGATAGGCCATTTTTGTACGCCGCACACTTCAATGTTAGTTTGTTCAATGCATAACTCAGTTGAGATACCCTTCTTTCGAGATTAACTAAGTGACATTCGTGAGATAATTCATTTTCATATTTTTTGGTCATCATCTCTTTCAAGGCCTCCACTAATACGTCGCCACTCAATTTTAAAACATCAAAATTATCACCAATTCCTCTGGTCAATCGCCATTGTTTCTTCATTTGAGACATCAACAGGGTTCCTAATCTAGTTAATTTCGTTGCATACAAATCTCTCTCTAGCTTCAGTTCAGTGCTTGCCCGATTTTGCTGGTCTTTTCCAACTGTAGAACTAGATGACGAGTTTGCACGTAACTTCTTTACAGAATCTTTCTTGTTTTTAATTTTAGTAGACATTTTCAATAATAAATTTTACCTCAAATTAATTTATTATAAAAAATTTGATTTTTATAAATAAATGTTACAAATGTACAAATTAAAGTAAATAAAATACTGCAAATATAATATAATAAAATCTAAACAAAAACACGCGTCTTAGTCAGTTTAATTTGGCATTGCAATCTTTTTTTTATCACCATGGATACCAAAAAATGGCGTGTTCATTTATAAAAGGGCGTTTCATTATTAAATGCTCAATAAATGAAACAAAATGCTAATAAAAATAAAAAAAATTGATATTAATATTTTTACACGGACAACATCTGGACGTTTAAAACCCGGCAAAGCACTTTCCGTCACATAAATTCATGGCGTGTAATTGCATAAAGCGTGGCAAACGCACGCAGTAAAAAAGCCTTTCATTTCGTTAACGGCTTCTTATTTGGCCAATTTTCATAAAGTTTGTCTCCAGTTTTTAAATAGCTTTTTATTTATTTTTTATTAATTATTCAGTTATATAATTCCGAATTCTTGATTATGTTTTCTTGCCTTTTTATTCGGATGTTAAAACATTGTATTTGCAAGTTATTGATCAAATGCTGAAAAATAACCATGGAAATGTTATATAAACTTTGTGAACACACGGGTGAATAACAGGGAGAGAAAAAGAAAGAGAGAGAGAGACTGAGAAAAAGTGAGAGAGAAAGAGAGAGGGAGAAGAAGAGAGAAGTGAGAAAAAAAGAAAGAATAGAGACGCAGAGGGAAAGAGAAAGAAAGAAAAGGGAAGAGAGAGACGAAGAAAAAGAGAAAACGGACACAGAGAAAGAAAAAATGAGAAAGTAAAAGGAGGAAAGAAACAGACAGAAAAGAGAGAAGAGAGACAGAAAAAAAGAAAGAAAAAAAGAAAGAAAGAAGAAAGAAAGAGTGCGTTTGCGTTAGCGTTGATTGATCTGATCAATAACGACGTTAATAAGAATAAGAATAGAGCATGAAAATGCGATACTGCTCATTCATTTGTAATCACCATTGCCACGATGACGATGACAATGATGACGCTGATACGATGATGATGGCATTTATTCAAGCCCAACCCAGATGGATGGACGCCAGAATTATGAATAATTGTAGAGATGAAGGTAGTGTCACGTGCCAGCTCATTCATTCTTCATTTAAACTTTCCGTTAATATTTTTTTTAATAATATAAAAAATAATAATAAATTAACCAGAGTTACGTTTCAGTGCATTGCCTCGAATTGAATTCATGTTTTCTGACAAGACGTAAAACCGAAGTCTATTTTTAAAATCAACCATGAACCATATATTTGGAGATCCAGATTCAAAATTTTAATTGCAATTCCAAAATCCAACTAGTGGCATTCAATATTTTAAACTCTAAAATCATTTTGAGAGAAAAATAACATTAAAACAAGCCGCATAGCTATGTTTGGCATCAAACAGTGTTAAAGCGGGGAGTGAAAAAATTTAAATCGAAAGTTCAGTTGGCAAAATGTTTTGATGGACAATTAATGAAGATTAGAATATTATATTTTCATCAAAAGAAATCTTAATGTAAAATCATTTTGGGAGACACAGAAACAACTTTTAAAGTTTGAGAGACGTCTCAAAATTCTTAACACGTTCTTCCCATAAGTCTTTGGGCTCTATGATTTTTAATTTTTAATGTCTTCGGATTTAACAGGAAATGTTAATTTAAAAATGTTTTACTTCGAAGTTATGTAGTGCTGTTTTTCAAGTAAATCACATTGAAAGCATTTTGAATTGTAGAGAATATTTATGGAGTTGGAGGACATTCAGAGAAATTAGTGATAGTTATATAAAACTTTTAAAATAATTTTCCTGTGGAATACCTACAAAGTCAAAAAAGCGAAACATAAACAAAAATATACAAATAAGCAGACTAAAAAATAAACATAAACGTAGCGTATTTTATGAACAATCACCCAACTATCTCTAAAGCTCAATTAAACTTTGTTTTCGACAGGCAAACGCGCTTTTACCGTTGCCGAATAACAATAAATCAAGATGCAAAGAAAAAATATCTAAAAAAGCGATTTCAACGATGGATATGGAGATCTAGTAAGACATTATTACCAGAACGTGCCCGTCGTAAAATGCTTCACCGCCGAACGCTGACCACCGCACGCAGCTGCTTTCACAACTGCACTGCCATGCTTATGAGCGTAGTTGTTTATTTAGTAGTGTGGCTCTAGTAGTAGCAGAGGCAGTAGTAGTAGTAGTAGTAGTAGTAGTAGTAGTAGTAGTAGTGGCAGCAGCAGTTGTAGCAGCAGTAGAAGTGGTGATAAACATCACCATCCATCAATTTATCTCTCTAGGTGGGCCTCATCAGGTTTTTGACAATGTTTTGAATTTATGAAATTTGTCACACGCGCGCGCACACACACTCACACGCACACACAGACCACACACACAACACACACACACATTTAAATGTACATACACACAATTAGATTTGTAACAAAGAAATGCAGTGCGAATTTTTCAAATAATGCTAAAACAAAAAATATGAATAAAATTTCCAAATAAACGATGAACGAACGAACAAAAGAACGAACGAACGAATGGTTGAATAAATGAAGAAATAAATAATTTCTAAAAACTAATTAAAATAAAATAACAATAACTGGAGATGAAATGGAAGGAGATGGAAGTTAGGAATTGCTATTGAGACAATTCCAATGATGGATCGCTCTCAGATGCCTCCACACTGCTTAAAAGGAAAATCGATTTTAATTTATTCCAGGCCATTTCATGCCTGCATACATACAAACACGCATGCATGCATACATACATACATACATACATACATACATACATACATACATACATACATACATACATACATACATACATACATACATACGTACATACATACATAGATACATACATACATACATACATACATACATACATACGTACATACATACATAGATACATACATACATACATACATACATACATACATACATACATACATACATACATACATACATACATACATACATACATACATACATACATACATACATACATACATACATACATACATACACACATACATACATACATACATACATACACACATACATACATACATACATACATACATACATACATACATACATACATACATATATACATACATACATATATACATACATGTTTGTGAGTGAGTCATCGTTAATCACTGGCGCTATTGACGTTTCTCGCATTATTATTTTACCTTTTTTTTCTTTATTTATCATTTATTATTGTTGTTAGTATTATGAATATCATGCCATTATTATTACTATTATGATTATTATTATATCAATTATTATATATTTAAAATTGTATTTTAAGCGCCTCCAACAGCAAGCATAGAACGAAATTTTAACTAAACTATTTATTATTATTATAATTATATTATAATTATTATATTAAATATTATTATAATATATTATATTATTTATTATAATTATATTAATATTTTCATTATTATGACAATCGTCATCATGTGAATCTTACTATTAATATTTTATTTATTATTATATTTTACAATTCTTTAAGATTATTTCTCCAAAGCCATGGATTATGTAAATAGAAGACCTGCCCTCGCTAAATAATTACGGGTTTAGCCGGATTTTAATTGAACAATCCATCTCCCAAATTTCACTGGCTTACAATAAATACACTGGCTTTCCTACAAATTCTTTCGCTCCATGCATCCATGCATCCATCCATGCATCCATGCATCCATACATTCATCCATCCATCCGTCCGTCCATCTATCCATCAATCCATCCATCTTTCCATCCATCCATTTATCAATCAAACCATCTAATTATTTTTTGCCAATATATATTACATGCTTTTCTATTCATTCATCTGTTCAATCCATCTTTCTGTCAGAAGTCCATCCCTCTTTTTTCATTCATCCATTATTTATTGTCATCCATCGATCTTATCTATCTTTCTGTCCATTCACCCATCTTTCTCCACCCATCCATTTTTTTTCTTCACCACCCAATCTATGGATAAGAAAATTACGACGGATGAAATTGATGAAGAGTCTATTTAAAAGAAAGATTGTTTGTATTCTTTCCCCGAACACGTCAGCATAACGTCACAACGTTATCTCCACGCAATGTTATCTCATGTTAACCAACGTACAGATGGTCTCAGACAGTTTTGCCGACAGACAGTTTAAAAATTATTTTGCTTTAGTGATAGTAAATTTTCTAAAATACTTTTAAAATATTAATATTAGTTATTATTATAATGAAATAGTAATAATAAGGATAAAGTTATGAAACTAACAATATATATAAATATGAAAAAAAAAATTGCGTTCAATTTTTAGAGACGTGTTTTAAAGTATATCACAGACATGTATGTATTGTATAGAGTGCGGACGATTTAATTTTAGACCTGCGAAGAATGCCACTTCAGATTTTTTGAGAATGTTTTTCTTCCATAAAAAAAATTTAATTTAAATTTTTTGCGACATAAACTTATTCAAAACCCATGCCAAACTGCGTGCATGTTTATAGAATCAGTCAGCATTCCAACCAGAGCAACACGTCACCGTTTGGTAAAGGACAGAAAACGGGACAGCACTCCTGCTGTTTCAGCTACCTTGCCAGCCACACATCCCACCACGTACGAATGATACATGCAAATGCAAAAAAAACAATCAAATAGAAGCATAGCTGAACATAAAAAACACGAAATGAAATAAAAACCCATGAAGTACAAGCCGTCGACACAATGCAAATGAGCGCAAGCACGTGAAAGCCTGCAATCAACTTCTACTTTGCAACAAATGGTACTATGGAGCATCTTATGTGGACGGACGCGAGAATTCGCTAGAAAATTAAGTGGAATGGAATCCACATGAATGTATTTTTAAACAGAATTGAACATTCGTCAAACACGCACGCACGCAAGTTGTAACTTCAGGCAATAACCCACAACACGCACACGTACACATACATGTGCGTGCATGCAAAACGCATTCACTGTTACATTTTTTAAATGCGTTTGCACATGGACTTTTCCAATGCTTATAGGTTTATGTTCTGAATTATAAGACGGAAGTCGAAATTCAGCAAAATAAAACCACACATCCGTATAGGATCGCGTGCATTAAAATTGATAGGCGAGCACAGACATAAAGAAATACATGTATTTGAGAGAAGACTCATCAAGCTCACGTCGTACAAGCCGGTACCGCACGAGCCACACACCAAACGACCAAATGCGAATCGGGAGCTGATTTTCGAGGATACATGCGATTAACGCATCAACTGCCGTCCACAATCTAAATTCGAACAATCTAAAAACACATATAAAAACCAAAGTATTATATACAAGCAGTCTAATTCATTCAAACACGAAATGTACGCCAGCATATCAGCACACGGAGACTTAAACAAATACAAACAAGCATGCCAAATTACGAGCAAACAAAGAATTTTCAAGTGAAAAACACGATTCATGTAATTTTTTTTAATCAAACGTAACGTTTGATTGACACTTGAAAACAAACACACAACCGTCGCACCATAACTCCGCATCAGAAACAAACATGATGAGGAATCCAACAAACAACAAACAAACAAACAAACAAACAGACAAACGTAGTAATCATTAAGACACCATCCGACAGACAAACATAATCATGATTCCACAATACAGACGCTTGTAGGAACGCACGAATACCCGTTAATATCCACATTAATATTACAAAACAGGGAGGACCTGCGTTACCGTTCACATACGAACATGCACATGCACAAACGAGCAAACATGCACAAACGAGCAAACATGTACACACGAGCAAACATGTACAAACGAGCAAACATGTACAAACGAGCAAACATGTACACACGAGCAAACATGTACACACGAGCAAACATGTACAAACGAGCAAACATGTACAAAAATGTACTACAATCGTGCAACGTCATCATCCATACATACGCATGTAGACAAAATGGTAGTGTGCACACAAATGCATGCGCACGTACACTTTCAGACATAAACTAGCTACCATAAAAACATTCATACGTACAATCAATTGCAATAGTTGCATACATATATTGCGTAAATATGTATACAAAAAGAAAACTTAAGTACAAGTGTAGGCACAAACACAGACGTACATATAAACGTGTATGCATACAAACATAAAAACATACACACACACATACACACAAGCGTACATTCATACGTACGTACATACGTACATTCATACGTACATCCAAACAGACATACGCACGTACAAGCATTTCCTCTGCTGTCATGCCTCCTGCGTGCTTAAGATGCCTGTTGTTGGCACTCACATGTATACGCAAATATGTATAGATACGTTACGTAAGTTTGCACGTACACACATACATACATACATACACACATACATACACACATACATACATACACACATACATACATACACACACACTCTTATTTGCACACACACACGCACGCGCGCACACACAAATACTATTGTGTGTATAACGACCACGTGTGTACAAATACATATACATAAATGTACAAATGTATGCCCATACATGTTCATCACTTGATATTAGGTAGTTTATTTTGACTGGGATAATCCTTGCTTTTGGATATATTGTATGCCGGTATAATTATGCTTATAATTATATAATATATACAAATATATGTACATACATATACATAAGTTTGTCATACAAAATACACAAGTCATTTGTATACATATATATATATTTATCTAATTTGTATTCATATATACATACTAATATTGTATATGTAAGTAGGTATATATATATATATATACAATATATGTGTTTTTTGTGTATGTATATATGTGTATGGGTATATATATATATATATATATATATATATACACACACACATATGTGTGTGTCATATACATATGTGTTGCAGCAAAAGGCATTGAGCAGCCAGCGTTCACTTCCAGCCTTTAATGGAAATGTGGAAAAAGGTCTCAATCATAATACTGTCGCCAATGCGTTTGGCAAATAATTGACTTATTATTATTATTAATTGATTGTAATTATTATTAATATAGTTTATCAGAGTAACAATTAATATTTTCATTAGTTTTAACAATCCAGTATATATGTGTATGTATTATTTATTGATGTGTTAAATATTAGTAGCTTTGTTATTTAGTTGAATGCGTAAGAGGATGTAAAATTATAGTTATTTAATTAATTGGTTAATTGGCTGGTTGATTGATTGAATTATTAATCAATTGGTTAATTGACTTATTAATCAAGAGATCTTTGAAGCAAACGAATTTGAAATTTAAATTACTTGAATGATTGAGTGATTAATTGATTGAGTGATTAATTGATTAATTAATTAATTAATTTTCAAAGTAAACTGACTGACTTTTCGACAAAATTGTCTAAAATGAAGTTTACATGGGTTATAGTAATAGTTGTAGTGATGGTGATAGTTATGACGATGTTGGCAGAAACTACCCAAGCCAAATCTTCAAGATATTTCAAGAGAGTCAAGGTTATAATTATAATAGTACTATTACTACTACCGCTTCTACTACTACTACTACTACTTCTACTACTACAACTACTAATACTACTACTACTACTTCTACTACTACAACTACTTCTACTACTACAACTACTTTTACTATTATTACTACTTCTACTATTACTACTACTTCTACTACTACTGCTACTACTTCTACTACTACTGCTACTACTTCTAATACTACTACTACTACTAAATAGTAAAACTATCAATGCAAGCACTGCTCTGCTTTTTATTATTATTAATATTGTTATTATTATTACTATTGTTGTTAATAACATTGTTATTATTATACATTACTATTATTAATATTATTATTATCAATATTTTTATCATCATCATCATATTACTCATCATCATCATCATCGTCGTCGTCAGAAGTCATCATCATCACCACCACCGAATGATGATGAGAACAATGCCCAGGCGTTTGCCAGAAGAGTTTCGGAAATGGAAGCGCGTGTTGATGGTGATGATGATAAAAATGGTGGTGGTGATGATGATGATGACGACAAAAATGGTGGTGGTGGTGAAGATGATGATGAGAGAAGAAACGGCGATGATGATGATTGGGATTATGATAATAAGGAAGAAGATGGAGGTCACGTGAAGAGGCGCTTAAACAAAGGTTCTCACTATTGCATTTTAAATGAAAATATTTTTTTATCGTCTATTAAACTTCGCGATTTTTTATATTTTGGTTAATAAGCTGGGATAAATTAATCAAAATTTTAAAAAATTTAATTTTTAAATAACGAAAATATGGATTAAATAAATTAATAAATTTGATTAAATAAATTAATCAAAATTTTAAAAAATTCAATTATTAAATAACGAAAATATGGATTAAATAAATATATATATATATAATTACCGCCAGACGCCTGTCAGGGCTTGTACTGTCGAACTGGGCGCATTTGTCGTCTGAGTAGAGACGGCCACCCTCGCTGCGTCTGTGCCGCTTCAGATTTTTGCCAGGGCCACAAAAGTCCCGTTTGTGGTTCCGATGGTAAGGTGTACTCCAGCCACTGTGAACTGCACCGCGTTTCGTGCCACGAGGGTTCAAAGCTGGGCGTCGATCATACAGGAAAGTTGTGTCACTCACTGTCTAATCACACTTCATCTGCTAAAATTGACAAAATTGTTGATGTGGCGGCTGTAGTTGATGCGTCTACCACAGCAGCAGTTGGCGAGGTGGATTTTGGAAAGCCGAATAATGAGAGTGTTACTACCGTTAAAAGTGCGATTGGTGTCGCAGCTACAGTGACTTCGGCAAAAAATGTTGTGGTTACACCCAATGTTGAAGAACACAAAACCAGATTGGGTATGGTGATTCAAATTATGGCATATATATATATATATATATATATATATATATATATATATATATATATATATATACATACCACAATATATATATATATATAATTATGATAAAAAAATAACAACAAAATAGTAAAAATACCACGCCACTCTGTAACTTATTAGACTTTAATAAATTTTCGCTAGATTCAAAATTATTTGTGCTGATCTCCTTATTATTCTAAATAAAATATATTAATCATTTAAATAATAGACAATTAACTAATATTTCATTGATAGAATTCATTTTGGAGATCAATAAATTTCGCAGGCACACCGACCCCAAGACTGACTACCATACACGCGGCATCAAACACGGCAGTTATAAACCATCCAGGCACCACAATCACAACGACCACAACTACTTCAAACGCCGCAACTGCAACCACAGACTCTCAAATTGCTGCTACGACTTCACACCCAACTACTGAAAAGAACAAAAAGGCTAAAATCGTGTCACCATCTTCATCGTTGTCTACATCATCAGGGAGTGAATTTGGTGAAGATAAGTGCAGTCATCTGAATTACAAACACTTCAAAACCAACCTGATACACTACCAGTGTGCCAGAACTGGAAATAATGGATGCACCGCTGACCATCAAAGTAACTTTGGAAAGAAAACAATTTTCTCATTTTTTTTTTCTGTGATTTTCCTTTTTCGATGTGTTAGTTTTTGTTTGTCTAAGTATGCTTATGTATTTTTTGTGTGTGTTTTTTGCTTTACCTTCTTCTGTTCGTTTGTCAGTTAGCATGGAATGTTTTTTATGCCATTTGACGCATGTGCTTGCAATAGTGAAAATAATAATAATATTATTATTTTCAATAATGCTAAATAATAATAATAACAAAGAATGAAAATACTCCCCCATAAAACAGAACTAATAAATATTTCGTATTACGGTTACTTATTGACAGAGAAAACATTGGCCGTGACAGCAATGTTTGACTTCTACGATCGAGACATGAACAAACTGTTGACCAGGGAGGAATTGGACCACGTAGAACACAAAGACCACATAGACAGACTGTCTAGGTTCTGCCACCTGACACACATCATGCTGTTCGATGATCTCGATGATGATGAGATCATCAACATTGACGAGTTCTACAGAGCTTTTGGTAGTCTTTTTGTTGAGAATGTTGTTGTTCGTATGGCTCTGCTAACATTGTTGTTGTTGTTATCTTATTGTTGTTGTTGTCATTGTTGTTTTAACAGACGAACAAATGGACAAAACGGATAAAAATAAGCAGTGGTGGATCTAGACAACTTTAACTGGAAGCAAAATTTTGAAAATGTTTAGGTTTTTTGACGGGGGGCCACATAACGTTGGTAATGTACGCATGCACAGCACCCATGTAAAGTACCAATGTAAGGTACTAAGGAACGTACGTAAGGTATGTTTATAAGGTACGTATGTCAGGTACGCAAGGAGCGTATGTAAGGTTTGTATGTAAGGTACGTAAGATTCGAATGCAAGGTTTTTTAGTATATCACGTCAATTTTTAGTTGATTTTTGACACCAAACTGCGTTTTTTCTGTTAAGACAATGAGTTTTACTTATTTTTAATAAAAATACTACTTACAACGGGAAGGGGGCACTGTCCCTCTCCCAGTCTCTTCCTTAAATCCGCCACTGAGAAAACGCACAAAAACGCACTTGCAAAAGCTAAAATACTTACACAAAGGACACTCAGGTAAACATGCAAGATCACAAATAAACAAACATAGAGAAAAACACAAATAAACAGGTGTAAAGGAGTCATCATCGTCGTCATCTGAGGACGCCCCAACTACATTCACCACGTTGGTATCCGTCGGGAACGCTGTGGAGTTGAAATGCGACATACCAGGATCTGAGGCCATACTGTGGAAGAGGCGTGGTCAATTGCTGACGTCATCTGATGACATCAAGGTTGTTATCTTATAGGTATCAGTAGAAAAAGTTTTATCTAATAATTTCTTATCAGTTTTCAATTAGTTTCTAACTAAATAAATTTAAAAAAAAAATCTAATTTTTTTATTTATTTCAATTTTTTGTTTATTCTTTAATGTTTTATGTATAAAAATTTCTTTCAAATTGCTTCTACTACAACTAATTTTACTACTTCTACAACAACAACAACAACAACAACAACAACTACTACTACTACTACCACTACTACAACTTAATTATTATTATTTTTACTATTTTTAAAGATATTTGACGACAATTCCCTGTACATTGGAGAGCTGAGATTGCATCACATGGGTAACTACAGCTGCCACGACGCCAAGAGGCTAGATGTCTTTCAAACACACGTCATCATCGTACAAAGTATGTGCCTTTGTGTGTGTGTGTATGTATGTATGTGTGTGTGTGTGTGTGTATGTGTGTGTATGTGTGAATGAGAAAGTGTGTATATGTGTGTTTGTGTGTGTTTGTGTACTCGTGTGGTCGGCATTTTTCGTATTTAAAAATTTTTTTATTTGAAAAAAATTGCTATAACTTCAATAAATAATGCCATTAGTACTGCTGCTACTACTACAACTTTTTCTACTGATACCTATTACTTCTACTGCTACTACTACTACTACCTACTACTACTTACTACTACTATTACTACTACTACTACCACTACTACTACTATTGCTGCTGCTACTACTACTACTACTAATACTAAATTACCTACTACGAATCATAATCAAGAATGAAAAATAATTAAAAATCATAAACAAAATTAATTATTATGAATCATAATTATCATAAAAAATTATAATCAAGTGCCGCCATTGGTGAGGATCCACCCGGCAAAACAGACGCACTCCATGACGTCACAATCGGCAAGCATCAGATGTCACGTGAGTGGAGTGCCGCTGCCGGAAGTCATCTGGATGAAAGATGGCGGCCAACTTCCGCTGCAACAACAACAGCCTGCTGGAGAAAAGAGTTCCTACGCGTTATATAGTTAGTCGTTGAAACATTTTTTTCTGTTTTTAAATTTGTGTTAAGAATTTTGTAAGTGTTTAAAGGCACATCGTCATTCTCATCATCGATATTATTTCAATGTTAGAGATGCGACTAACATTTTTATTGTCAGTCTTGCCACCATCCTTTTTGTTACTATCATAATCATCATCATCATCATCATCGTCGTCGTCATCACTAATACCATCATCACTAATATCATCATCATCATCATCTTTATCAATGCAGACAGCAACACAACTTTGGAGATCAGACCCGTGCTGAACCTTGCAAACAGTAGCAGCAGCAGTAGTAGCAACAACAACAATATCGGTGGATTGTTTACATGCACTGCAAGAAATTCAGTAGGCAATTCGTCTGCAACTGCTTCCGTTCTGTTTGAGACAAATGTTCCTAATGATGCTAAACATACTGACTCAGGTAGAATATTAATTTTTATTATTTTTATTATATAAGTGTTTCTCGAATTTTAAGTTTTTTTAAAACTATTTGCCGATTTTTAAATTTCGTTAGAAAACACAATTAGTTTTAAGTTTTTTTTAAATTTTAAACGATGGTTTAATTTAAATTACATGAAACTCAACACGCACGCATCAGATGAAACCAGACAGTTGGAAAGATTTGCAGTCTTCCACAATTCAGGTTACACGATCTACGAGTTAACTAACTGCCACATAGAACATCACGTGTTCGCGGGGTTTGAACTTTCAACCGTGCAGAGAGGCCACACCTCGGTTGACCCTGTCAAAACTTTGTGCTTGAACAGTCGTTCCTGTGTCTGGGGTGATTCGACCATGGCTAAGGAAAGTTATCTCTACGTCAGTCAGCCTCATCTCAGGAGGGTGCTGGTCATCGAGGTGGTCGATAGGTTAAATCCGGTCGAGGTCGGTTGGATGGTTTCTTCTATTTTTGCTGCTTGTTTGAAGTTTCTGTGAATGAGATATTAATTAATTAATTAATTAATTAATATAAATTTAGTTTTCTAGATTATTTTTAATTTTTTTGATTTGTACGGTAGAATCTTTTAATTTTTTCTAATGAAACAATTTTATTTGAATCCCTCTCACAATTCAATAACTAGGTCATAGAAACAGGACTGCCCCCCCATCAACTGACCTACATCGAGCACCTGGACCAGATCTGGATGACGACCTGCAACAAATCACTATACCAACACGGGGACCTGTCGGTGAAGGACTGCGACGAGGTAGTGGTCATGATCATCCAGCAGGCCAGCAAGGCTCTGAAACATCACGTCGTGCACATGAAGAATGTCGAACCTCCTAATTTTATCGTTAGGAACATTTTGTTGAAACATGAAACATTGTTTGCATACTTTAGCGATTGTATTAATGAAGTAAACATTTTAACGATTGAATTGAAACAGAATAGGTAAACATGCTGGCCAACTTGATTTCGTATCGTTCATTCATAACTGTCAATTGTATTTAAAAAAATTGTATAAAGAATTCGACAATACACGTTCAATTTTTTTACAAATAAAACATAGCAAATCATCACTTGAATTGAAACTGACACTTGGAATATTACTTAGATCGAGAAACTCTTCCTACCCCACCATGACGAACCCCTGGACGGGGCGTTCAACCAGGGGTATGCCACTTCTAAATCGGATCTCGGTTACTTGCACGTCATCGATCTCAACTCGATGAGGTTCGTTGACAGGATCAACTTGACGGAGCAGAAATGCTCACCCCAGGATGTCGGCTATGTACCAATCGGTGAGAACATTCTTGAAATGCCTCATTAGATAGCTAACATTTATAAATTCAAAACGTTATCAAACAGAGAAAAAAACTACAATTCTAAAAAAATGACAACAGATTGAAACATAGCTAATAAACTAACACAATGTTTAGAAAATCAAATTTTAAGCAATCCATCACACAAAAAAAAAACAAGTGAAACCCTACCAAACAGGCGGCTACTTATTTGTAAGCTGCAAACAGTTCCAGGAGAGCCCAGGCAGTAACTTCCACCTCGTCATCGACTACATCACTCACGAGATCTTCAAAAAGTCAGACATGGGGGGTGGCGCCATTTACGTGTCTCCGGATTCTCGTCACGTGGTCGTACTGGAAGAGGATGGAAGTGGAATATCAGTGTATAAGTTCACTGCCGATGGTTTGTTTGTTTGGATGTCTGTCTGGATGTCTGTCTGAATGTCTGTTGTTGATGTATGTAATGTATCTAACTAACCGAACAACCTGGCAGGCCGTTTGAACCATTCCTTCGACGAATACACGCAATTGCACCTGAACGACATCAGTTTCTACAGAGCTGAGACGGGCATCGGATACAACGCCTATGCCACTTCCTACGTACAGAACACCATCCTACATCTGGAACTGCTCACTGGCAAAGTCAATATGATTGAAGGTAGCGCGAATCTTCTGCTTTTATTTAGCGCATTTTTTAAACATGTCTACCGACAAACCGACCAACCGACCGACCTACCAACTAATTAGGGGCCGAAGGGACTTTCACTCCAGACGACATAGCGTGGAATCGTCGTTTCCGTAAAGTGGAGAGAGGAGGACCCTTCTTCGGGCATCTGATGACGTCATCAAAAAATTCTATCACTGGATTGGACGGCCAGAAAAAACACATTCAATGCCATTGGCAGGACGTTGAGAAGACCACGACGATCTCTGCACTCCCATTGGTTGACGATAGTGGAGTGGCGGCCGGTATTTGAAGATGACTTGATATTATTGGCTGAGCTGGTTGATTTGAAATGCTTTCATCGTATTGGTTGATCGGATTACATTTTAGATTTACAATGAAAAAATATAGTGAAATTTGTTAAAAACCGATAATAAATTAATTACATAATAAATAGTTAAATGAAAAGGTTTTATGTCTTGTAATTGAAAACACATATATACACGTAAAACTTGTGATTTTGTTACAATCGATTTTCAGATTTGTTCCAATATTAAAAATTTGCGTATATCTTCATGTGTGTACTGTACATATATGCTTTCAAATGTTCCAAATATATTATTATGTAATATAGATTAGCCGGCTTACAATATATACACATCTGTTGGAAAGAGACCATATTTTAAACAGTACTGTATGAATTCTACCGAATTCTGACTACCTAAATTTACACAATTTGGTAGAATTCCTACAATAATATATATATACATATATATATATATATATATTATCTGCAATGCCAATCTTATTTGTTGCGAATACGTATAACGTTTCAGATTGATGATAAACTAGAATTTTCAAAAAAAAGATCATAATTTTAGATAAATTCATATTTATTTTCTCAAAGGATTTTCCATAGTTGTAAATAACTTTAACATATATTTATGTGCATTTGTGAAATACGTGTGGTATATTGTAAAATACGTTCGGTATAATGGCGTGTATGATATACTGGTGTATTTGGTATTTCAATCATGGATATCGATTGTATGGATTATATACATCCATGATTTCAATATATTTTTCCAATTTTCTCTCGCTCATTGAAATTATTCTTAAATACATTCTATATTGTACTGCGTTTCTAATGCTTATGTGGTATTCAACTATTACTTTTCATACAGACACGCTTTTTTCTTCTATTTTCTTTTATTTTCTGATTTTGAAAATATGAATTTAATTGTTAAAGTATCAACTTGGCAAATTTTGAAGATAATTAAAAAAATATCAAGCAGAACTTTTGGTAATGTTAGTTTGCAATGACAAGTTTAACATATTGAGTTAGATTTGAAATTTACAAGTTTTTATTGAGATAATTTTAAAATAATCACAAAATCGCAACAAAATAATAATAAATAATGAATTCTATTCAATGGTAGTTTGATATATTTAGCTTAACATCATTATTATTACTTTTTTATTTTGATTTTTTGTAAATTTTTTGAGCAATCAAATCAAAAGCTTTGTAAATCGTGCATATGCGCGTATGTGAGCAGTAATCCATTAAACGTTTAAACTTAAATTTAAACTTAACATTTATATCTTAATTAAATTCAAATTCTAATATTTTTGCATTTATAGTAATGATATTAAAGTTTATATATTTAAAACAATCAATTTTATTATTTTAAAAAAATTTGTTCTTCAAAAATGTGAATTTATTTATGTATATAAATTTGTAACATTGTCAAATTTGTGCTTGTACTGTTTTTTTCTGCAATTTTATTGTCATTATTATCTATATTTATTCGAATATTGTTGTTGAATCATCAAAATATCGTGTTGTATACATAATAAAATATCTTATTTAACATTTGTGGATAGTCAAAATGCATTGAATGATATTAACATTTACATAGTGAATGAATATGTATATTTATTTGTTTATTTAATTTGCAAATTTAATTTAAAATTTTGTAATATTTCGTTTGAGCTTTGTGGTTAAATAAAATCTCGTCTGTTCATCTGCTTTGATAAGAAAGTTAGTAGTTAGTCTTACATATTAGAACACACAAGACAAAACAACCGTGTGCATATTTGATTAACATCATATAATATAATGTCCACGATGTATCAATATATCCATACTCATAATCTATGATATCTATCATCTTATTGGAGTTTCTCAGATGAAAATATCCAAAGAATATGATGGCTGGAATACACGAAACAGTTCTATCAATAATAAAATAACCCTTATTATAATTAAAACCCGTATATCCATGACAAGATCAGAATCATTTAACTATGATAAATTATTTATTTTGAAGCCTATGAAAATGCACCAGCGAATATTTTTTATCCGTTGGCGAACATCTCGTTTTAAATGTCAGTTAACTTTTAAAAATTAATTTATTTACCACCGTAAACGAAACTTTTTAAAAAATGTTCTGGTCCAATCAGGCAGTATTTGTAACAATTAGTTCATGCTTTTTAGCCTTCATCAATATTGTTGTCAGGTCCCAATTTACGGACAGATACTCATTGGACGACGATAAATATGCGCGTTTGTCGTCACTGGACAAGGTACCAGCACCAGTGTACAATATCTCTGGGGGGGTCCGCGACCAATTATTACCGGTGGTGAAGAACATCAACTTGATGATGAGCAGCACGAAGAAGAGTAATTCTTTGCAGTTTTGTTCCTTCTTCAACAACAGAGCCCCCCAGGAACAACTTGCACTGAAGAATTGCACATGGTACAGCAAGAATAGTTGCTGTCTGCAGCACGAAATTGACGTGTCGTTCTCTCGAGTGAAGTCACTCATTGGCGCCTCAGAGGATTGCCAAAAGTACACTAACTACCTGATGTGTTATGTCTGCTCTCCAGATCAGAATCTCTTCTACAAGAAGGAAAGACTGACAGTTTGTGAACCTTTCTGCGATCTGCTATACGAGGCCTGCAAGTTTGCGTACTTGAAGGGCTACCAGATTGCAGACCTCTACAGCACTGGAAAGGAATTCTGCTTGAGTAGGAGGTTCCTGGTCGAGTATCGCCATGATTGCTTCAACATGCATGACGTCAATTTTGAAGCCATGAAATTTTCATCATCATCATCTTCATCACCAATCAACTTTATCCATATTTGTGTTTTAATTTTTGTATCTACAATTTTATCAACTGGATCTTTCATTGGGAAAGATTATTTTATGAGTGTTGGTGGTAGTAAATTTAAAATTCATCAAACTACTGGCCGTGGTGTGTGCATTTTAGTGATCATCTCAATATTTATGCTATCCGCTCAACACACCCATGCTTTCAAAGTCAGCTTCGACGATGTCCTCAACCTACGAAAGGAACTCTCAAATTTTTTCAAGAAGTTGGAAGCAGAAACATTAAAAAATGATCTTTACAAAAGCTTGCTGACATCTCAAGTACCAGCCAAGAAGACAGGCATTGAAGTGTTAAATGATGTCAAGAAGACGATTGGTATGTGCACATGCTGTGGTTTTTTAAATGTTCATCCTTCATAACTTTTTGTATAATTTATTATTTATATAATTTTTATTACGTTATAATATTCCAATAGATTATTTGTGAATCGCTTTGAATATTATTTTTGTCATTCATTAAATATTTGTAGAAATAAATTCTCATTAACGTTTTCAAAGGAAGAATAGAGACGTTGGTGTTATATTCATTTTATTTTGTATCTTTGGGGTCCAGACACTTGCTCTTTCAAGCTTACAAACAACTGAGCCCAGTAGATACAAATTAAGATGAAAGCAATACCAAACTCAACACATTTTGTATTTAAAGGCAGCAATTTTTTGTAATAACTCAGCTAAAATTTTCTCAAATTATTTACCTAACGTAATTCCAGAGAAGTTTTTAGCAGACAAACGAACGACTTTGAAATCACTAAGTGTCCATCTGAGGAATGCCCACAACATCACATTGTCATCACAACAAACCAACAGCAGCGGAACTGCTAATGATACAAATACTGAAAATTTGCTTAAAAATTTGAAATTGCCTTTGTCTATGAGGTTAGTTTCTATCCAATCTTAGATATATAAGTTATATTAATGTTTTATTTTTATTTGCTGCTATAATTAATATTTTTATGAGTATTATTTATTATAAATTTTTATAATATTATCAATTTCTGTTTAATTAGATATTCAATTGTTAATTAATTTGTCATTTTATAAGTTTTACAATTAAAATAATAATTAACCACTATTCTGTTATCTTATCAGGTAGACATTTTTTTAAAAATCTTTCCCAATAGAAGTTATCGAAATAAAAGTATGGCAAGCCAGTTAATAATCCCCGAAAGTTTCGATGAATTGAACCAAGAGGTCATTAACTTTTACGACTTCACCGAAAAATTTGACGAACTGGCAAAAAATTTTGTCGACCAGTATACAAGGTTGTCTGTGGTGTGTGGCATCATAATTTTTATTCATTACTGTGCATATCAACTATAATTTTATTTGTTATTATTATTATTTATTATATCAAATATTATTTGTGAAAATGTTATTAGTAACATTTTCTTGTTCACAATTTGTTAAGTTGTTTGAAATGCATGATTTCAAGTTAGACAATTGACTTAATTTTTAAAAGAAAAAACTAGGCTAAAACATTTTTATTTATTTTGACAGATCTGTGTACATTGCAAGCAGAACAGGTCTAATGAGGTTTTACTCTAATCTGACCTTGAAAAGTCCGTTCGATCCAAGGTCACAGCCCTGGTACATGGGGGTCAAGGAAGCCCCGTCCCACGTCATCATCATCATCGATACGAGTTTTACAGATGAAAAAGACAGGTGTGCTAGCTTATTGGCCAGTTATAGAATAATTTTACTTAATATTCTAATCTTTTTCCATATTTATGCTTTGTGTGTTGTTATACCAAGCTTAATTAGCATAATTTATAAAAAAAAACAAACAATATCCACACAGGGCGAGTTTCAATAGATCGAAGAAAATAGCTCAGCTCTTGATAAACAGCTTGGCCGCACATCAGAGGGTTGCCGTCATTTCGTCGGCCTCCAGGGCATGGCATAATAAAGGGCTGCTGCAAGATGGCAATGCTACTGTTCTTGGCTGTCAGAAGCATAGGTTGGTCGTTGTTAGTGGCTGGCTGGTTGGTTGGTTGATTGGTTGGTTGATTGGCTGGTTGATTGGTTAGTTGATTGGTTAGTTAGTTGGTTGGTTAGTTGGTTGGCTGGCTGGCTGGTTGGTTGGTCGGTCGGTTGGTTGGTCAGTCGGTTGGTTGGTCCACTGTTAATGCCTGATTGGTTGATTGGTTGGTTAGTTTTTAATAATGTAAAAGTTTCTTGCTAATAAAGTTTTTATTTGATGAACAACAACAACATATTGAATTGATCTTTCGAGAATATTTCGGAATGTTTAATTGAAACTTCATCCAAACTGAGTAGATTGATGAAAGCAACGAATGGAAACAAGAAGATGCTGACGAAGGCCGTTGAAATGTTAACTCCTTTCGGCGGATCTGATCACAAGTTATTTGCGCTTATTTTATATCTTTTCTTCATTGTTACTTATTAAACTGTTGCTAACCTGTTGGCTGGCTGCAGGTCGCACGATTTATTTAACATAAACCTGAGAATGCGAAACATGGTTCTTATTTAGTGATTTTATTTCAAACATTTTGACGAAATTTAAATTCAATATTTCATCAGAAATGGGTTCATGTTGTCATTTGAGTTGCTGGAGAGGCAGAAGCGAGTGCACAGGAAGTATTTGGATTGTAGGAGTGTTGTGCTGTTCGTCACTGACGGAGATGAGAGTGAGTTCAGTCTCAGGTGCTCTGAAGGTCCGTTGGTTGGTTGACTGGCTGCCGGGTTCTATGTATCCGTTACATTTGATTTCGTTGGTTTCTTGGTTTTCCTGTTAATGTTACATTCAATTTCATTGGTCGCTAGGTTGTTTTTGCTATGTTTGAATTCATTGGTTGCTGGGTTTTTCTGTTTCTGTTGCATCCGACTTCATTTTTTTGGTTCTTGTTATGTTGGTCAATAATTTGCATTGTTTTTAGTTATTATTAGTTTTATTTTGTTTTAATGAAATAATGCTTCAAAAAAGAGTTAGAAATAATAAACAAATGCAGGGACGAACAAACAAACAAACACACACACGTTTAAACAAAACAAAAAACATACACATGTGTATAATCAACATACGAAAAAGGTTTTTACCAGTTCAACGAAAACAACGAAAGAATTTTCCAGAAGGGCTCCATGTGCGACTACAAGAATGATGAGTTGTTGGATACGATACAATGGAGACAATCAAGAATTCCTGGGACTAAGGTTGGTCTGTTGTTGTTTTTTAATCAATCAATCAATCAATCAATCAATCTATCAACCAATCAATCAGTCAGTCAATCAATCAATCGTTTATTCTATTGATCAATTAATCAACCAACAAATCGTTCATTTAACCAATCAATCAACCAACCAATCAACCAACCAATCAACCGACAATGAATACCAATAGAATCAAACTTAATTCTGCCTCACTCCACTCCGACCCAGGCGAAAATTTTCACTTTCCTGACCAAAGAATCAAAAAAATGGCACCACAGTTTTTTCCCGGGCAAACTTGCATGTCAAAATAATGGGGCCATGTCCAGGGTCTACCACGACAGTGACCTCTTCAATCAGATGGCCCCCTACTTCGATTATATAAGAGCCAGGGAATATTCCATGGACCCTATTCTTACCGGTTAGTTTTATGAGATTTGTATAACGTGATTTGATTGGCCGGTTGTCTATCGTGATTTGATTGGCCGGTTGTCTTCCTGATCGGTGGCATTGGATTGGCTAGTTGGTTAATTGGTTGGGTGGCTGATGTGTTTTAATTGTCTAGTTGATTGGATAGTCAATTGGATAGTTGACGTAATATAATTGGCCAATTTGGGTACATACACACACGTACACACACAAACAAACACACAAAAACAAACACAAACAAACACACACACACAAGGGCCATATGAAAGTTCAATTGACGGCGAACCCATCCTCACTCTTTCCATGCCTCTCCTGCCTGGCAATAACATCAACGCCAAAAAGTTTTTCTTACGTTGCATAATTTTAAAAATAATTTTAAATTATTATTTTAAAATTATTTTCCGGCTATATTTTTTAAAATTCTCTATAAAATAATAATTAATAATAATATTATTTTATTATTATTTTACTGTTAAGGTAGTTGTTGGCTTGAGTTTTTTACATGGATATATATATATATATATATATATATTATATCCATAGTTTTTTATGTACTGTTTATTTGCTACTGTTTAGGGAACTGGGTGGGGTATTGTGTGGAAAGAAATGGTCAGTGAAGATGAAAGGGAGGGTATATAAAGCATGTGTGAGAGCAGCGATGATATATGGTGGTGAAACTTGGGTGTTGAAGAGAGAGGAGGAAAGTGTACTGCAGAGGGCTAAAAGAGTTATGGTGAGGATGATGTGTGGGGTTAAAGTGAAGGATAGGAGGAGTAGTACAGAGCTGATGTCGAGGATGGGACTGAATGAGGACATTGTGACATTGATAAGGAGATCGAGATAGCGGTGGTATGGACATGTGTTGAGAAGGGATGAAAGGGTCGGGATTAGGTGAGCGTTGGAGTTTGAGGTTGAAGGAGTGGTAGGAAGGGGTCGTCCGCGATTGGGATGGAGAGAGCAGGTGGAGAAGGACAGGGTGAAAGCGGGGTTGCGTGATACTGAGGCGAGTGACAGATGTGGATGGAGTCGAGGGGTATTTCGGTTTCATCACAGGTAGCCAAACGGCAACCCTTGATCTCGGGGAAAATTGTCGTCTAAACGTGTGTTGTTGTTGTTATTTGCTACTATTGTAGTTGTAGTTGAAAATGCAACCTCAAACTTAAGTAACATAAATTTGTAAGAAAGAGAGAAAGAGAGAGAGAGAGAGAGAGAGATAAAAGAGAGAGATGAAATCTTTTTCCCTAATTTTAGGATCATAGGAGTGATAGGGATGGACATCAGTCTGTCGGCCTTTGAAAGCCTTATTCACGAGTACCACGACTTCACATCCATCATAAATTTGAACGACGGAGGCGCCATCATTCATCCACTGCTTCCTAAATCCTATGAGGTGGTGGTGGTGGTGGTGATGGTGATGATAATGATAATGATGATGGGGATGATGATGATGATGAGGAGAATGGTGGTGGTGATTATGATGATGATTGTGTTACGATGCTGGTGATGATCTTCATCACGTCACCACAGGGTGTTGGCAAATGGATGGATATCCCTATTATGGATTTGGAAATGTACGAGGAGGAAGGTGATAACGAAGGAACTGCAGCTGCAACGGCTACCACCCTAGCCACCGCCAACGACAAATATTACGACGACGACTATGACGACGACAACGACGATAAACACGACAATCTCATTCGAAACAACAACAAATTCAAAAAATCAGACCATGACGCCTTTCCTTATGTGCTGAAGAACATGTTGAGGAAAAAAAACGGAAGTCACGTGATCACTAGGGGGGTTAATATAGGGGTAGCCATGAAAGAGGGGTACATATTGTGGAAGCCGGCTAAATCGGCCTACTGTTTCTATGATAAGATTAATGGTTGGTGTTTTTTTTAAATTATATCTTTAAACTGTTCAAACATTTTGTCTTCATTTCTGTTGAATAATTTTTTTATTTGATTAAAATGACCTGACTTCACCTCTTCGTGGTTTATGATGAGTTTATTTGCGCTGCTTATAGACGCGTGCTTTTAAACACGTCATCGTACGTGAAAGTTCGAACCTTGAAAGCCATTTGCAACATTTGCCGGTTCAATGATAAAATTTAATGGCAGGTTGAAAGTTATTTTGAAACTTTTAAATTCGTCTCCTAATTTTTCAAATGTTGATTCATCTTAACATTATTAAATCGTCCTCATCTTCACCTGACAAACAAAACACACACAGTCAGATGCACACACACAAACGCATCCACAAACACACACACACAAACACACAGACACCCACTTTGGGGTACTGCTGAAGGCCTACTCGCAAACAGCCGCCACCGGCTTCAAACCAACCGACCGCCTCTTTGAGGTGCTGGATGACGACTCCACTAAGACTGTCTATAAAAAGGAACATCTCTTCAGGGATAAATCTACCCAGTGGCTTCATACGTGGATTTTTAGCACTCCTAGTATTAGTAGTAATAGTAGTAGTAGTAATAGTAGTAGTAGTAATAGTAGTAGTAGTAGTAGTAGTAATAGTAGCAGTAGTAGTATTAGTAATAGTAGCAGTAGTAGTATTGATAGTATTAGTGGTAATAGCAATAGTAGTAGTAGTAGTAGTAATAGTAGTAGTAGTAGTAGTGGTGGTAGTAGTGGTGGTAGTAGTAGTGGTAGTAGTAGTGGTATTAGTAGTAGTAGAAGAAGTAGGAGTAGTAGTAGTGGTAGTAGTTTGAGGTTCAGCAGCATTGTTAACAAAATGAAGAGTTTAAATATCACCACCGATCACCCCATGTATCTGGGTCAGTTCATCGAATGGGATTTTTTTTCAATCCCCTATACCATCACTTTGTTTTATTTGGTTTTTGTTTATTTTATGTTTTATTTCACTCACACACAAACACATACACACACACTCACACACGCACAAACCACACACACAAACCACACACACACACTCATACACACACATATACACACACACAAACCACACACAAACATACACACACACGCAGGCATACCAATAACGTTGGACGCATCGAGTATAGTACTGGCCCCGTCGGCATTCTGCCACTCCCACATGAGTGGCATGCAGTACAACATAGACAAGGTCATAGTTCAAGAGTCAATCAACAAGAGGCCTAGAGATGATGATAAAGTGAGAGAGGGTAGTGGTGAGAGTGAGGCAGATATTGACGGGGAGGAGAGCGAAGAAAGGTGGTATGACGCTTTGCTGGGTAAGGAGAAGAATTGTCTTATAACTAAAGAGGCCAGGTCTGTTTTCAATACTAATACTACTACTACTAATAATAATTATTATTATTATTAAATTATTATTCTTATCCAGGGTGGCCATTCAGTTCTCGAAGATGTTGACCTATAGTTGGAGGCAGGCGATGGCAAGGGACAGGAACCTGAGATCCGTTTACATGGCATCTATCGCTGGAGTCATACGGCACTATCCAGGTTAGAGGCGAGCTGCGTGTAGAGACCTCGTGCGTGTGTGTGTGTGTGTGTGTGTGTGTACATCAGAGATGAAAATACCTGAATTAATGTTTGGTGTGGTGAACTCGTTTTCATTGCCATTCAAGGTGTTCTAGTACCTGAGAACAGAGTTCTTCGACCAATGAGGTTCATTTTTGAAGATGACATCACTGTCGTTATTACTTTTTTGTCGCCATTCATTCTTTATCATTTTTTTTTATCATCGTTATCATCTTCGTAATCAACGCCGATATCATCATCATCATCACCATCATCGCAATCGTCATCGTCATCATCATCTTCACCACCAAGACTACAATCCCCATCACAGTCACTATCACCACAATCATCATCATTAATACCATCACCATCGTCATCATCATCATCACCAGCACTACAATCCCCAACAAAATCACTATCACCACAATCTAATCATCATCATCACCAACCAACACTACAATCTCCAACAATATCGCTATCACCACAATCATCATCATCATCGCCACCACCAGATACAAATGGTTCTTGGACGCCGCCATGCACACGTCATCCTTGAACGTCATCAACAACAGACTTCCGTTCACAACAAGTAACAACGTCATCACAATCTCCAGAACTGTCGAAGAGACAAATTCGAAAAGTTATTATTATTTTTGTTATTTTTGTTATTATTGTTATTATTATTATTATTATTATTATTATTTCTTCATTATCATTATTATTTTTATTATTTTTATTATTTTCATTATTGCATTCATTATTATTATTGCTGGTTTTGTTGTTAAGACAGTTACTCGTTATCAGCGTTAATTTGATCTAATTGCTTGACGTTTCTACTGATATTGAGTTTATTATTATATTTTTATTTTATATCTTTGGTTCGTAATTTTATTACCACAGCTGTCATGTATTTTATATCTTTGGTTCTATTACGACAGCTGTCATGGCGGCCGATTTCGACAAGACGATGTTGACGAGAAACATTACAACAATGTTGAGAAACGTTAATAGCGTTTGTTGCCACGCGAACCAACAGCCAATCAAAATACTGGAAAATGTTGGGAGCAATAAAAATAATAATAATACTAACAATACTGAATGTTATGCTAGGTTGGTGTACGTGTTTGTGTGTGTGTTTGTTTGTTTGTGTGTGTGTGTGTATTTGTGTGTTTGTGTGTGTGTATTTGTGTGTGTGTGTGCGTGCAACTGATTCTGCCGTTAAATAAAAACCCATTGCTAGAGATTGATTTAAGAAATAATTTTAATGAATGATTGATGTATATACGAGGCTCGTAAAAGGAAATGAAGAAAGATAACATGGAAGAGAGCGAGTGGAAAGAAAGAGAGAAGAAGAAAGAGGGAGAGAGAGAGAGAGAGAGAGAGAGAGAAAGACAGTACTGATTCTGCCATTATTCTACGCATATCCAAGTTTCAGTTAGAAGGTGTGTCGATACAGATATATTAGCTTCCGTATTGGCAGTTGAATGGCGTCTTTGTTGTCGTTGGTGTTGCTGTTGTTTTTGTCGGTGTTGTTGTTGTTTTGTTGCTGTTTTGTTACTATTGCGCCAACACAGCTTTAAACAGCGTCATCATCATTATAAACATCATCACCGTCATCACAAACATCATTATCATCCTCATCATCATAAACACCTTAACAAACATCATCATCGTCGTCATCATCATCGTTCAGATGCTACTTGATCTCAGATGATGGCGAGATAGTGATGAGTTTGAGTGACAAGTTGGATGGTCACAGGTTCAACACCCTTCAGCACGAGTTCAACTTCATCTTTCGCTCACTGATCAACAAGCACATGATTAAAGTGCACAAAATAACCAGGATACTACCAAATTGTACCAAACCAACTACAGAAGCCGATAAGGCCTCTGCTAGATCGGCTGCAAAAGCGGCTGTGTCTGCTGCCACCGCTGTCCACCATCGTCGTCGTCGTCACCATCTTCATCGTCGTCGTTCTATTTACAATCATCATGGTAATAGTCAGGTGAGGATGATGATGATGATGATGATGAGAATGAAGATGATGATGATCTATAATGTATAACATAACAATCATGACAACATCTAGCACCAAACGACACCGTACTTACTGCATCTTTCACGCTAACAACTGTCACCACTGTCCGTCAACAACTGTCTCTCAAGCGTCCCTCATTAACAATCAACATAGGTCAGTGGGCCGCAGCACACCAGGGCCTGTATGACCATCGTCCAGCGACCCTACATTGACCTTCAGAAGTTGAGGAAACTAAATGGTGTCATTTCAGGTTACTCCACTAAAGAGGTAAAGGAAAATGGTGAAGTTATTGCCGATGACCCCTGCTACACGGGTGTGTTTTATTTGACCTCTATTGAGGGAACTGACCTACTTTTCTTGACCCTTATCGATGTTAATATCACAAATTCGGATTTTTGCAAAAACGAGAGGACGTGAGTTTTTATTATTATTATTTATTTTTAAATGTTCGTACATTTATTCGTACATTTCGTACATATATATAATTGCTGACTTAACATATCACAAATAAAAATAAAACAGAAAATCACTGAAGGCTTTCGCCGAACACATGAAGCCCTTGTGTCCGCTGCACGAAGCTTACTATGCCACGAGGTCCAACTCAACCACGTGCCCCAACCCCAGGTTCATCTCATTGTACTGTTACTACAACAGAGCCGCTACTGACCATGTGGCAATTAAGTACAGGCTGTTAATGTACATGGTTGTCTATCTATCTGTCGTTCATGCTTTCTTCGAGCACACTTTCTTGTTTGGAATGTATACATTTTAATGTGGTTTTTGTTATTTTTATATGTGAGTGGTGTGTGCTTGTGTAAAAGAGGGAGAGAGAGAGAAAGGGAGAGAAAAAGAGAGAGAGAGAGAAAAAGAGAGAAAGAAAAGTTAGTTTACATTTGTAGTGCCTACGGCTTAGTTGATTGGCTTGTTAGTTGGTCGTTTGGCAGGTTAGTTATTTGATTGGTCAGTTCGTTGATTGACATGTCATTTAAATGACTGATGGCCCATAAGTGACATACATGGTCGAATAGATGGATGTTTGTGTTTGTATAAAAAAGGCGACGGGCAGGTTGATCTGTCATTTTCATCTTAAATTCAGTCATCTTACGCTTTTTTTTCAAAAATTTTTGCTCCTCTGATTTACCTTGCGTCAACAAGAACTTCATGCATATCCAGTTGAGTGAGTGAATGAATGAATAAATGAATGAATGAATGATTGAATATATGGTAAAATAAGAACGAATGAAAGGATGAGCAAATTGATAAATGGGTAAATAATTGAATGTATGAACCAATGATCGCTCGAACCAATGAATGAATGAATGAATGAATAAAAAATGAATGAATAAAGGAAGGAACGAACAAATGAATAAACAAAGGAATGATGAATGAAGTGCCAATTTAATGTGTGTCATTATTTTTTATAACCTTGTAAAAGGAGTACCATATTTTCAACAAAACCCTCTGTGATCATTTCAAATTCAAATGAAATCAAATCATGCAATTCAACGTTTCTAATTCATAACTAACCGTATAGCTGATTGATTTTTTTTTAACTAATCCTAATTTTGAAACATTGAAAACTGAATTAATTATGTTAAAGACGTGATTGCATAGATTATGTTAATGTAACTGTTACATATATCATGGTAATGTTATTTATATTGCTCTAATTGCTTTGCATTAATTTGGCTAATGTGATTACTATATATAAATTATGATGATGTAATTACTATACACATACTATATCAAGGTAATTGCTGTGCATAAATTATGTTAATGATATGTAGACCTAGTGTAAAATCTGTAATGTAATGTGTCACGTTTTAATGAATATTGTGTATTTATTTGCATATGTTAATATTTATTCATATTTTGAAGTCAGTTTTGAGCTTTTTTAATTCATTCTATTTTATTTTTATTTATTTTTTTTGCTGTCGTTGTGGATGTGTGTAGATTATTTCACATATGGTTCTTTTAATTTTGTATCTCGCAATCTCAAACATCGTCTGTGTCGTGCGGTAGTAACGCTTTTATTTGCTAATAAGTAAATCTAAAAATGAAAAAATGGAGAAAAGAAATTGAAAGTGAAAGAAAGATAGTTAGAAACGATTAAAGAGAGAGAGAGAGAGAAAGAGAGAGTAATAGAGAAATAGAGAGGGGGGGGGGGCTATAGAAAATGAGAATTGGGGGAGAAAAAGAATTTGCACATTTAGATAATCATCTTTTGCGTAGTAAGTACAGTTTCAATTGGAGAACAAACGAAGATAAAGCGAGAAGGAGAAAAGAATAAATGAGTAAAAGAAGTAAAATGAGAAAATGTGTTTGTATGTGTGTCGGAGAGAGAGAGGAGATGGAGAGAAAGAAAGATATTTTCCAAATTTAATTTCGGTTTTTTGTGTAGTGTAGTAGTGCTTAAATTTGAAAATTAATTTAATCTAAAGAAAGAAAGGTTGAGATAATAAACATGAGGTGAGAGTAAAATAACGTGAAACTTTTGAAAGAGAGCTGGAGATAAAGAAAGAGAAAGAAAGAGATAGAGAGAGAAGTGGGAGGGAAAGAGAGATAGGTCAAAAGAGATAAAGGAATGAGAAAAATTATATAAATAGGCATTACGATGCTATAGATTTGTCATCTAGTTTTTATATCGTTTAATTAAAGTTTTTCAATTAATTATTTTTAAACCATTTTCTTGAACTTTTTTTCTTCTTTTTTTAACATTACCTTTGAGCATCTTCTTGATTGAATAAAATTATAAAATCCTAATAAAATGTCAGCAGGAATAAAATTTTATAAAAAAAAATTGAAAAATACAACGATAAAAACCAGAAACAAATACGAATCGATTGTTTTGTCCAATCAATACGCAATGACGTCATATCTGTGAACCATCTTCATTTGTGTAGCGCCTATCTTCTTGAAAAAAAATAGAATGAAAAAACCGTTTCTTAACGAAACTTGATTTTTAAATTGAGAATTGAGATAACGTCATCTATTACTTAATTTGTATGTAGAAACTAGTCTTAGTAGGTGGGTATCGAATCGTTGTTAAACATGTTGCTATTTCTACATTTTAAAAAAAACTTCAAATTCCACAAAAATTTTATAAGTAGAAATCTGGCCATTAAATAATAATAATAATAAAATTACCGATAGGTTTTTTTGTTTGCCTTATATGTGAGTGCGTGCGTTGTGTGGTGTGTGTGAGTGTGTGGTGTGTGTGCGCGCGTGTGTTTTAACAGGCTTTTTAAATGTTGTTGCTTAATTTTGTTGTTGTTATATGTTTTAGTAGTAATAGTAGTAGAAGTAGTAGCATAGTAGCAGCAGTAGTGATAGTAGTAGTAGTATTAGTAATAGTAGTGATAGTAGTAGTAGTATTAGTAATAGTAGTAATACTAGTAGTAGTAGTAGTAATAGTAGTGATAGTAGTAGTAGTATTAGTAATAGTAGTAATAGTAGTAGTAGTAGTAGTAGTAGCATTGGTGTCGTTGTCATCGTTACAGTGTTTGCATTCTTTCGTTAATGTTGTTTAATTGACAACAACCACGTAGAATTTATGTTCGCCTGCTCATTAACCTTCCTCTGACTTGTTTGTATATCATTTATCAATTTTCCCTGTTCATTTAATTGTTCATTTGTTTGTTCGTTTGTTCGTTCATTTGTTCGTTTGATTGTTCATTCGTTCAAGCTCATTTTAAAACAAGTTTTCTCATGTTTTAAATGTATTGCAATTTCAAAAATTAAGTAGATGGATTAAACTGATCGAAAAATGAATACGCGCACAAACACACACATGCACACACACATACACACGCACACACACGCATGTCTTTGAAAAGTGAAAGTAAAAGTTCTACTGTGGTTTTGCTGATTTCATCGTTTAACTGTGTTTGTGTTTATGTCATTTTGTAGCAATTGTGGATCTTGTTACAACGCTGTGAATCTTTTTTAATAGTTTTGTCTTTTATATCAAACATAGTTATCATATTTATTGATAGTTTCAAACATAGATATAATATTTGTTGATAGTTTTAAACATAGATATCACATTTGTTGATAGTTTTAAACATAGATATCACATTTGTTGATAGTTTTAAATATAGATATCATATTTCAAACAAAGATATCCTAAATGTTGTAGAAAGATGAGGAGTTAATTAATATTTATTATTAATTTAATGGAATGTGATCTCTTTAATGGGCGCTTTATAAACACGTTTAAAGCAACAACGACGACAACAACAATAATAATATTAACAACAACATTAACAACAACAGCAACAATAACATTGAAAACAACAGCAACAACAATAAATAATATTAACAACAACAACAACGGCAATAATAATTATTACCTATAATGACCTATAATTACAAAAAACATAGTGACCATATAAAAATTGGTGGACCAACCGCATGCTTACAATTAGCATAATAGCTGGAGCGTAGCGATGATTGATTGATAATGTATGTTGCTGTTTTGTGTTGTTATATTATTTTGTGTCAGTGTTTGTGCGTGTGTTTGTGTATATGTGTGTGTGTTTACCTACGTATGTTGTACGTCTACCCATATGATTGTGCTGTTTTGATGTTGTATAAGTTTGTATGTATGAATATTTTTTTCATTTTATTGATATATTTAATAAATATATGAGTATACATTTGTGTATGCCTCTCTGGGAATATGTGTGTGTGTGTGTGGTGCGTGTGTGTGTGCGCGTGTAACTGCGTGTTTATGTTTGTATGTATTGTTGGGATCGCAGTTGTTGCCATTGGTGATGAAAGAGTATGGAATAATGCATGGCTCTGATAGATGTTTATTTGTATGCTATTGTTTCTATGTTTTTGCTTCTACGTTGATGATGTCATTATCATTGTTGTTTTTGTTGTTGTTTTTTGTTGTTGTTTGATTGATTTGCCGACTGGAGAAATTTAGAATATGTCACTCTAAGGATGAAGTGGGTTGTTTCTGTGCTATGCTTATGCGCTATTTGTATGTTTGTGTATTATTTACGTTTGCATTTTTTGTATCGTATGTGATTGTACACCATCAATTTATCGCTATTGGCTAATGTGATGGTGATGATGATAATGTTATCATGATGATAATGTTATGGTGTGATGTGATGATGAGAATGATTATGATAATGTCATCATCGTCATAACCATCGTAGTTGTTTATATCACCACCATCATCATCATCATCACCGCCATCATCATCAGTACCATTATCATCTTGATCGTCATCATCACTATTTTCTATTATTATAGGTATAATTTTTGTTTATTACAAGTATATTTGTTTTATTATTACATGTATATATTTTTATTATTATAAGTATATTAATTTTATTATTATATGTATATTTTTGTTATTATATATATATATATATTAAATTGTAACACTTTGCACCGTTGAAGATACAGAAACAAGAAGGAGTTTGGTTTGTCGGCAGGGCAGTAAACATTCGATACTCAACCACATGCTAGGAATTTATTTTTCCATGTCAGCTGTATGTGTGTGTGTGTGAGGTTTTTTGGTAGTCGCTACTACTACTACTACTACTACTACTACTACTACTACTACTACTGCTAAAGCTACTACTACTACTACTACTACTACTACTATTACAGTAGTAGTAGTAGTAGTAGTAGTAGTAGCAATAGTAATTACTACTACAAACACCCAAACCAACAAACACACAAAGATCCATACAAAGAGATAAACATACAAACAAACAGACATACAAACAAACAAATGTAAAAAATACACAA